CCCCCGCCCAGTTTGGGGCTCCTCCCTCCCAGTTTGGTACTGGGAAGGGACTGGGAGGACCCCCCCCACCTCAAAAAATTTTTGGGGGGGGGCAGCCAGAATGCCCAAATTTTAAAAAATGGGAATTTTGGGGTTTTTTTCCCCAATTTTGGGGTTTTTTTCCCCAATTTTGGGGGTTTTTTCCCCAATTTTAGGGGGTCACAGTTTGCTGGTCCCCTCCAAAAATGGGAATTTTGGCGATTTTTCCTCAATTTTGGGTTTTTTTCCCCAATTTTGGTTTTTTTTTCCCCAATTTTAGGGGCATTTCTTGCTTCCCCCCACCCCCCAAAATGCAAATTTTGGGAGTTTTTCCCCAATTTTGGGGTTTTTTCCCCAATTTTGGGGGGGTTTTCCCCAATTTTGGGGTTTTTTTCCCCAATTTTGGTTTTTTTTTCCCCAATTTTAGGGGCATTTCTTGCTTCCCCCCACCCCCCAAAATGCAAATTTTGGGAGTTTTTCCCCAATTTTGGGGGTTTTTTCCCCAATTTTAGGGGGTCACAGTTTGCTGGTCCCCTCCAAAAATGGGAATTTTGGCGATTTTTCCTCAATTTTGGGTTTTTTTCCCCAATTTTGGTTTTTTTTTCCCCAATTTTAGGGGCATTTCTTGCTTCCCCCCACCCCCCAAAATGCAAATTTTGGGAGTTTTTCCCCAATTTTGGGGTTTTTTCCCCAATTTTGGGGGGGTTTTCCCCAATTTTGGGGTTTTTTTTCTCAATTTTGGGGGGTCACAGTTTGCTGGTCCCCTCCAAAAATGGGAATTTTGGGGGTTTTTTCCTCAATTTTGGGGGGGGGGGTCACAGTTTTGGGGGGCCACAATTTTTGGGGGGCCACAATTTTCTCACCCCCCCCCCCAAAAAATGTGAATTTTGGGGTTTTTTCCCCCCAATTTTGGGGGGGGGTCACCACTTCCCCTCCCCCCAAAAATGGGAATTTAGGATTTTTTCCCCAATTTTGGGGAGGGGGTCACCACTCACTGTCCCCTCCCCCCTCCTTTTTGTCACCTCCTTGTCCCTTCCTTGGGGGGGGCCGAGACCCCCCCCCAAAATCAACCCCGACCTCAGCGACCTCTCGACCTCCCCCAGCCCTCCTGTGCCCCCCTCCCCCCCCCCAAAATTTGGGGGGGGGGGGTGCCGGTGCTTGTGACCCCCCTCAAAATTGAGCTCAGGGGTCTCAAATATCTGCGACCCCCCCAAATTGGGGTGGGGGGAGGGGTCCCAACGTTTGTGACCCCCCCCCTCCCCAAATTCACCCCCCCAAATTGGGGTGGGGGGTCCCAGGAATTGTGACCCCTCCTCGTTTTATTCCCAAATTGGGGTGGGGGGATCCTGGTGTTTGTGACCCCCCCCCCCCCAAATTTTGTTGGGGGGGGGTCTCAGTCCCTGTCACTCCCCCCCCGTGACCCCCCCCTCAAATTCGGGAAGGAATTTGGGGAATTTAGGGTGGGGGGAGGGGGCTCCCAGTACTTTTGACCCCCCTCAAATTGGGCTGGGGGGGGAGGGGGGGGTGGTCCCATTTTTTATGCCCCCCCCCAACTTAAATTGGGGAG